CCACCAGTATCTGGGGGAACGTTTGTTCACCAGAGCGCCCCAAGGGATGACGACTAGGTCGAATGGTCATAAACTACTACAAGACCGTTTCAGGCTGGACGTAAGGAAGAATTTCTTTAGTGTCCGAGCCCCCAAGGTCTGGAACAGCCTGCCACCGGAGGTGGTTCAAGCGCCTACATTGAACACCTTCAAGAGCAAACTGGATGCTTATCTTGCTGGGATCCTGTGATCGCAGCTGACTTCCTGCCCTTTGGGCAGGGGGTGGACTCAATGATCTTCCGAGGTCCCTTCCAGCCCTAATGTCTATGTCTATGAAATCTATGATGTTCTGGAGGGAGACAGATTTATTCTTCTCAGCAGTTTCAATGCCAGGGTCAGAAAGGACTTGAACCTCTGGAATGGAACCAGGAAGGAGTAGGTCAGGTCAACTCCAACGGCATCCTCCTCTTGACCAAGTGCACAGAAGATGGACTTACCATCACAAATACCTTGTTCTGCCAAAAAACAGGCACAAGAGATCATGGTAACATGTGATCTATTTGGCCTCTGATTGACTATGTCTTTGTTTGTGCCTAGAATCATAAGGATGTCTGTATCACATGAGCTGTGCTAGGAGATGACAATTGCTGGACTGATCACTGACTCATCTGCTCAGTTATGTTACTCAAACTAGCTCCCAAATGGTGACTGCAGCAGAATCAATACCAATGGAAGATTAATGTCGAAATACTCAAAGATCCAAGCAAGTGATACCTCTCCCATCAATAAGAGAGTACCTCGATGAAAAACTAGCAAATCACAATCAACAACAACAGGAGAATGTCAGCAGCACTTGGGGTGTCTTCAAGTCCACCATCATGAGCACCTGTGAAGAGATATTTGTATTCTCTACCAGGAAACATCAAGACTGATTTGATGAGAATGGCAGGGAGATCCAAGAGTTGATCTACCGTAAGCAAAAGGCCTTTTGTGCTTGGCAGAATGACATCAACTCCAAGCAAAAGAAACTGAATATCCAACAAGCCAAAGCAGAGATCCAAAGGAGGATTCACAATATGAAGAACAGATGGTGGGAAGACAAGGCTAAGGAGATTCAACACCTTACTGACATACACAATATGTACAGTTTTCTCAGTAACACCGAAGCCATCTGTGGTCCAAGTACTCAGGGACCAACCCCTTGAGACCTAAGGAATAGAAGCAACCTGATTAAGGAAAGGCAACTGTCAATGCCCATTGGAATGATCATTTTGAAGACCTTCTCAGTCAAGAATTTGTTGTTGGCAATAGTGTTCTCAACTCCATCCCACAACACCCAGTCAGAGATGATCTCAGACTCCCTCCAACCTTTGATGGAGTGAAGAAAGCCATCAATCAGATGAAGAACAACAAGGCATCTGGAGCAGATGGAATGCCTGCTAAAATCTTGAAGCGGGGGGGAAGG